TCTTTCCCTCGACTCTTACTATTTTGCACCCCTCCTTAAAGGCAAATGTTAGTTACCAATTTCTTTTGCCTTGTTCCAGAGGGATGTCTTACACACAGCTGTGTATAGGTATGTATATTTACACATCCTTTAAAAATATCTATACACATCTGAATATACAAATGATTTTCTTCCCTTTTTCAAATTGCAGGCACACATACATGTATCTGGTGTGTATTTATTATTTTAGAGAGATATTTTTCCAATAGGGCGCATGCACTCAAGAGAGAGACAGAGACAGAGACAGACAGAAAGTGAACAATCACCGCCCAGAGGGAATGGCCATGCTGCAATCCCAATTCTTCACTGAGGATTTTGGGAATGCATGCATGCACACATACCTGGCATGAATTTTAAACCACCAGGTCTGGGACTTGAACTGTGACTGACTACATGGAAGTCCAGTGACATAACTATTATGTTATCTGCTGGTCCCTCTGGTGTATTTTTTTTTTTTTAAAGAATTTTAACTTTATTTATGTATTTATTTATTTAGACTGGGGAGGGAGAGAGAGAATGAGAAAGCAAGCCTCCAGATCCAGGACTGGAACCACAGTCAGCCATGTGGGAGTCCAGCGCCCTTAACCACCACACCACCCGCTGGCCCCACCTCTGGTATGTTTTTAAAGTCAGGGCTAAGATTTGAACTGCCAAAGGCCATGTGGTATCTGGCTCCCTTAAACCACTAGGCTATGGGGTTGGTCTATGATTTTCTTCATATACTAATTTTAGAAGCTTTTCTATATTAGCACAGGTTAAACCTCCCTGTTCTTCTAAAACCACTACATGGCATTTTATTGATATTGTAGTGAATGTAGTATAACTTACTTAACTAGTCCCGTCTGATGAACTTTGAGGTTTTTCCGGTCTTTGGCGATTACAAATAACACAGTGAGTGTCCTTCATGTGTATCATTGCACATGTGATATCTGAGAGTCTAGAAGCAGGATTGCTAAATCAGAGAATATGTTCATTTTTGATACATACTATCGAGCTGCCCTCCAAAGAGCTCTACATTGATTATAAAATACTAAATGTGAAATTCTTTTACACCTGGCTACCTCTCCTGCCTTCCCCACCAGTCCTCTAAAATGCTGCCAGAGTGATCTTCCTAAATGAATTTGTTCTAGTACCTTCTCTGTTTAGAATCCTTGTAAGCACTACTCAATTGTCAGCTTAAAGTTTAAACTCCCAGCTTACCTCCTGCTCTAGCTTGTGCTCCCACAGTGCTCTGACCCACTTGTATTTGGTACTTACTTCTTTTCCTTCCTGATTTTTTAATCATACACATCCTTTAGGACTCAGCTCGGCATCATGTACTTTGGGTAGGAGTTCCTGACTTCCTCCACTCGTGCATAGGACACTTAAGCACCACCTAATGCAGCCTCATCTATTCACTACTTAAGTATTTGTTGTGCACATGCTGTGATGTGACACATGCAGGTGTCATTCTTGATGATCCATGGGCCTGGTGCTTTGAAAGGATTATACCTGGCTTGGGGTAGGCTATCTGATGTGGCTGCAACTAAGATGGTAGCACTGAAGAGCCCATTGCCAACTGTCACTGACCAGCTGGGGGCCCTGGGCATACCCTTTAGCTTTCTGGACCTTGGTTTTAGGTGGAACTTGATCAACTCTAAGGTCCCAGTAGTTCAGGTCTTATTAATGATTACATCAGTGACAGCAGCCAGTTTTACTGAAGACTCACAGACTGCCAGGCACTTTGCAGAGGACTTTGATCTTAATTCTTAAATCAATCTACGAAGACAGAAAATGGTTACTATCCCCATTTTACAGATGCAGAAACTCAGGCTGACAGAAGTTATGTTACATGGGCACATAATAGAGGAAAGAGACTTGAATCCAGACATTCTGACTTTACTTTTCTTAGCTACATAGATGTCCACACATTCTATACACATACAGCTTTGTGTACTGTTCTGGATCATTCACAGATGCCATCCCCACTCTCTACCCTCTCCACGAGCCATCCTTGTTCTGTAGCTTTAAAGGCTCAAGTTGGAGTCTAGGTAAAAGCTAGAGGCAGAAGATTGCTATAGTCACAATTAGAGGGAAGTGGGTGAGGACCGGTGGCTGGCTCTGTTCTTGAATCCCTGGCTGATGCTCACTGAGGACTCTTCATAGCTCCTGTTCCTGTGGACTGAGACAACTCACACTTCTGTGTGTGCAGTCATCCTCTTCAGGAGGAGAACACAGGCCTGGAGCAAGGCCTTAGATACAGATTAAACTTAGGTCTGGTAAGTGTCTTTGACAGAGGCTCAGAGACATTTGTTATTAGGGTTAAAGATGGCCTTGTCTATACACATAAGGCCTTTATTTTTAATTATTTAGAGATTTTTGCTGTAGGGCACATGCACTCACTGGAGAGACAGAAAGCAAGAAATCACCCCCCCGCCACCACCACCAGAGGGATGGCCATGCCACAATCCCTTCTCCTCCATTTTCCTCTTGGGATCCTGGGCATACACACACACACGCACGCATGCCTGGCATGAGTTTTAAGCCCTAGATCCAGGACTAGAACTGAGGTCAACTATGTGGGAGTCCAGGGACATAACCATTATGCTATCTGCTGGTCCCCACATAAGGCCTTTATTAATGGAGAAGCGTGTATGTGTGGAGTTGAAAAAGGAAGCATGATCTTATTTGAAGTATCTTTTATAAATTAGAGTAAATGAGTAATAAATGAGAAGTGAGGGACCAGCACCCTATAGCAAAACAAACAACTGGGAAGTGAGATAAAATAAATGAATGAAAATAGGCCGGTGGCATGGTGGTTAGGGCGGCTGGATCCTGGATGGATGACTGTGTGGTTCAAGTTCTGGACCTGGTGGCCTGAAAAACATGTTGGGTACGTGCCCAAAATCCCAAGAGGAGAATGGAGGAGAAGGGATTGGGACAGGGCAATCCCCAGTGGGGATACTTTGTCTGTCTCTAGTGAGTACATGTGCCCTATAGTAAAAAAAGAAAGAAAGAAAAAATACACTAGACTAGGCTAGGCAGTGTTGCAGTGGTCACCCAACTAGACTGTGCGGGCACCGTCCTCAGTTCATATTCAAGGATCTTCCTGAGCATGCCAAGTGTGCTTGCCTGCCAGGTGGAGGTCGTGCCTGTGATTGGCTGGTTGAGATGCAGGGGGTGGATGGCCATGTGAGGACCCTGTTGGGGGGGGGGGGTACAGGGTGCCTGTCTCTCTTGTGGAAGAAGTAAACTTAAAATTAAAACAAAAAATGTTAATAGGACTGTTCCATAATGTACCATCAACCTGGCTGCCTCCCCAAAGACATGTAGAAAATAGTTCTTGACGTCTTAACCCTGGTATATTTTTAAAAAAAGATACTGGTTCCTACCTACTGAAGTCTTTGTCCGAATGAGTGTGTGGTGGGGCTACTTAGCAATTACAGCCTGTCCTCCACCCGCTCGTCACTGTCGAGAGCAAACAGCAGAATGTGGCCTCTAGGGTCACAGGTGTGCCGGGTGAGACTTGATTAATTAGTCCGTTTCTGAGATTCATGGCTGTGGAGTCAGATCCTCAGGGGCCCATCCAGCCTCTGGCAGGCCGCTGCTGCATTCCTTCTCTAGGTGGTGTATTTCTCCCTGTCAGACACGTGTTCTCTCTCTCTTTTTTTCCCTTCAGTTAGTTGAACTTGTTCTGGGTCCAAGTGGCAAAGGCAAAGCCCGATGTGGGTGTAGCAGCTCTGTGTCAACAGCTGCTTCTCTGCTCCTCTCTGCTGAGTCTTTGGGGCAGGCAGTGGGGCAGAAAGAGCTGCACTGCCTGATGTTCAGGTGAGCTGGAGCTTGTCCAGTGCCCTGGCCCTGTTGAGAGTACTTGGCTCCCGACACTGATGGCAGCTTGCTGCAGGACTTAGCATTTCCCCAGGGTGGAGTTGAAAAGCCACTTCTGTGCTTGTCTCTTCTCCTGGCAGCAGGGATTCAGTTTCTAGAATTCTTTGAGCTTTGTCTGTGGTATGGCCTCCTTACCACGATGCCTACTTCTAACTAACGTTCGCTGAAGTTTTCACTGTACTGATGACCTGGTTTTGTTTGTTATAGGTGAACGGCCTATGCGCCTGGCTGACTTTCGGATTTTTACTTCTGGATTTTACATTTTTTCTTTTTATAAAAACTTGGACGGATAAAAGATGTGCCATGGCAGGATAGCACCAAAGAGCACCTCAGCGTTTGCCGTGGCCTCCGTGGGACATGGAGTATTCCTCCCGTTGGTGATCCTCAGCACCCTGCTTGGAGACGGATTTGCCTCCGGTAAGTCCCAACCTGTCCTCGTGTGGGAGGGAAAGGCTCAATACCATCGTTTCTCCTGAAGGCTGTGGTGGGAGGTTTTGCTTCTGGAGGGCAGAAGATGGGGGGGACATTTTTCTTTAAGATTTTTGCCATCAAGTGTGTGCACTTGCCAGAGAGACAGAGAGGCAAAGTGAGAAGTCACATCTTAGGGGGGGATGGCCATGCCGTAATCTCTTCTTCAGTTTCCTCCTGGGATTTTGGGCACACGTGCAGGTGTGAGTTTTACACCGCCAGATCCAGGGCCCAAACCGTGGTTGGCCAAATGGCAGTCTAGTGCCTTAACTACCATGCCACCTGTTGGCCCCTTCGTGGAGTGCTTTTGTGCTGCGGCATGTATAGCAGCGATAGTCCTTCTAGGGCCTAATGAGCCAGCTGGGCAAGGTGTGTGAGAACCTGCTGGTGATGACGTAGTCACCCCATTCCCCAGACATGTCATCATCAGGATTTCAGAGCATGTTGTGCAGCTACGGGTGCAGGCTTTGGAATCAGACTGCCAGTGTTCATAGCCTGAACTTGTTTGCTCTATGATCCTGAGCAAGTTGCTTTATTGCTGTAAGCCTCAGTTTCCTCAGCCAAAGAGTGGGATAGTAGTACTTACCTGGGAGGGAAATTGTGAAGATTGGCAGAGATGGCACAGTGAGCATGTTATGATTGTTAGCGTTTCTGTTTCTTGCTTTTCTGTGCATTTTCTCAGAATGTGTGCATAGCTTAGGTATTCTGATTTAGTGAAAGTAGGACCTGGTTGCTGACACTACAAACACTGTGATCTAAGAAGTCACTTAACCATTCTGAGGCGCAGTTTCTCCCTTTGTCAAATGAAGGCCCTGATAACCTTTAAGGGCATGTCTAGTTCTTGTAGGAGGTACTTTCATGATTCTGGTGGAAGATGAGCTGGAGGGTCCTGGGGCGGGAGATGGGGGCTGGGGGAGATGGAGCATTGAGCCTTTTTGGGTTCATATAGCCCTTGTTGCCTTCAGGAATGCACTGAAGACCCTTCTAGGTTCTGTTCATGGCATCCTTTTCAGAAAGGATGCGCTTGGGTGCCCACAGCAGGCCTCTGGGTGATGTGCCACACCTTGCTCTGTATTTACGAGTCCCAATAGCATCATTGAGCTTACCAGTAATGGTTCCCCTGCCAGACTTCATTAAAAACACTTGTATGGAGTCTCCTTGGACAACACTCTCTGGAGAGGGATCTCAGGGCTAGATTCTGGAAGGGAACCTTAGGTGTGGGAGATGACATATTGTGGGGGCAGAGTCCCTTTAGCTCGGTGCTTTCTCTTTCATTTCCTTTCTGTCAACTCCCACTGCTGACCCAGCAAATATAGATAGCAGTGCAGTCCCATCCAAATCTTATTTAAATCTTTTCTTTTTTTTCTTTCTAATTGTTGGGAGAAACAATTGCTGAGTTTTTGTTTCATCATAGCCTCTCCCATGACTCATATATGAATTTCCTTCTCTGCTGCCCTTACTTCTACCTGATTCCGACACTTAATACAAACCTTTCCTCCTGAGCAATGAGGAATCCTGGCATAACCCAGGGAGCTATGGTGATTGGGATTCCACAGAGTGGACATCATGGCTGTGTGAAGTTTCCGAGGCATAGACCGGGCTCCCTCACTGTGCAACAAAATGCAGCAGGGCCCATATTCACAGGCTGCTGAAAGCCAGAGGAGACCTGTAGAAGTAATCTTACAGAACCACAAAGTCACTGAATCTCTAGGGCAGAAGTCAGCAAATTATAGCCCATGCAGCATTCCACCTGTCACCTGCTTCTGTATGTCCTGTGAGCTAAACATATTTTAAAATGATTGTAAAATAACAGAATAGTATTTTATGACATATGAAGTTCAAAATTTGTGTCTCTAAATAAAGTTTTATTGATACATAGCAGTGATTATTCTGTTGTGGTTTTGTGCTGAGTAGTTGTGATGAGGACCATGTGGCCCTTAAAACCTAAAATATTTGTACTTTAAAATATTTGGCCTTTGGAACTCTGTCTTCATTAAATCCTAACTCAAAGAAAAAAAAAGAATAAATGGCCCATTATAAAAGACCCTCACCCACACAAGGCCAGAACGAATGGTGAACTGGTGCTCAATGGGGATGTGCATGAGTGGAATGACTGTCAGAGCAGGGAGGAAGGTGGGACTGGTCAGAGCCAGGTGGGACTGCAAAGACTGTGCACTTGCCCAGAGGCTTGCAAGCTAATGGTAGGGCCAGGACCAGAACTTGGCCCAGTGCCCAGCATGCTACTGGGACCTGCCTCTCGCGAGGCTCCTCTGGGAAGCTGCCCAGGCATGTTCACGTCAGTATTGGAGGAGCAGCTGCCCTCCAGTGTCCAGTGTCTTTAGCTTTCAAACTTCATTAAGCCATTCCACCTATCCTCACACTCCTTTGTGTTGGCTCCACCTTCCTCCTCCCATTCCCATCCCCGTTTTCCAACTACCCACACCTTCCCAACTTTCCACCCAAGGTCTGAAATCAATTATCAGGTTCCAGACTGGCTGGATAAAGAGATTATTATTCTCCAGTGTGGAAAAATGTGTCTGTTTGTAGTATGGTCTTAGAGCAGGATGGGAAAGTTGGCTCTCTTGTTTTCTTTCTCCTCCTCCATCTGCAGAGAATCCTCTCTCCCCTGCCACCCCAACCCTGAAGTTTTTCCTACTCCCCATAAGACATGTATTCTGACAGGGAGCTGGGTACAGGCCAGGAAAGGGGTTTCACCGTTACCTGACTCCACTGCACTAAGTTGCTGCCAACATTTCCCCCTCTCTCTGAAGTGGCTTCTGAAAAAGGGAGGTACCCCCTCCTTGGCCTGAAACCCAGAGCACACCTGTATGACTACGCCTGCCACGAGCAGCGTGCCATGTCAGCTTGCCAAGAAACCAAGACTCTCAGCTCCTCTGAAGCCAAGGAAAGGCAGTTCAGTCCAGGAAAAGTCCCTCCTCCGCTCGTGCATTTCTTACCTGTTTCTATAGTTGTTCCTAAACACACATTCCAGAGACATTTTTAGGTGGGCGCTTGTTACCCAGTGGGCTGTAGTAGACTCTGGAGATACTCATGCATACATGCACATTCTAGACTGAGAATCCCACAGGACACAGGTAAATGGGCCTCTTGGGGAGGGGGCAGTTTGCAAGTCTTTGGTTATAAATGGCACAGTCTTTCCCTGCTTTTAGTTATAATCTCAGATTTAGTAGAAAAGAATGCATAAAGAGGCACTTGAGAGGTCTGGGGTAGAATCAAATCACATTTGGTGTTCAGTTTCCATGGTGATCTTTCTTATATACAGCCCAACATTCGGAGTTACACCAGAGAAGGCATTAAAAAGGCAATAGGGGGACCAGCAGTTAGCGTAATGGCTATGTCGCTGGACTCCCATGTAGTCGACTGTGGTTCACGTCCTGGACCCGGTGGCTTAAAACTCACTCCGGGCGCGTGTGCGTGCCCGAGATCCCGAGAGGAGAATGGAGGAGAAGGGATTGCGGCGTGGCCATCCCCTCTGGGGGGTGAGTTCTCGCTTTCTGTCTCTGTCTGGCCAGTGCATGCGCCCTATAGCGAAAAAAACCTCTCAAAAAAAAAAAAAAAAAGCAGTAGGTCCAGCTTTCCCTTGATACTTTCTTTAAATGAGGAGAGTGAGTGAAAAATTTCCTTTTTGGAGTGACAAAAGGAAGCGTTATGTACTCTTTACACCCAGTCACACCATGCAGTGGGAAGACCATTGTTCACAGTTAAATCTATGCACACACTATTCAACTTGCCTTTCTTGGACTAGAGAGGAATTAGGATCCCAACCATGTGGCAGCCTCTTCCCAGGCCTTGCAGCTCTTTGCCTTTAGCTGAGATCTTAAGCAACTTGGTGTATGACCTTATGTGACTCTCGTGACCTCTTTCAAGATTGTTGTTGGTATTGTTATGTAGACTTATATAAAGATGATTGGAAGGCCCATGGCACGTAAAACTTGTGATGTAATTCCGGAACAACAACAACAGAGTTGGTATGTGACCTACTGTTGAGTCACTCTGGGCAGGAGACTTTATGTAGATGACAACCTTTGTTGTCATTAAAACTGAAGATGCAACATCCCTGTGTGCCTAGGGATAAGGGCTTTTGGAACAGGTGTCAAATTTGACCAGTGAGGAGGAATTGATTACTTCAGGAATCTCCTTTGGCTTCCAGAAAGCTCATGTTTACATAGTTCCTGTGATCTCAACTCAACTAGCTTGCTGACTCATACAAAAAACTTTTGGTGTGCATTCTTTTACTTTCCAGAGCGTATTTATTGAACAAACTCAGTATTTTACCTGTTCCTGACTTTTTCTTTCTTCCTCTTAAAATGTTGCTATTAGGCCATGTTAAAATCACCTAAGACAATTTAAAAACAGTAGGGAGAGCAGCCATCTGCGTTTCTACATGACGGAGTGAGAAAGCCAGGCATTTTTCATTGAAGATGGAAAATATTGAGAACCAGGTTCTCTAGGAGATGATGTGGCTTGTTCCCTTAGCACTGCCGTGGCGGGCAGGTGTTGGCAGGTGGCCCTGGCTCACATCACTGTGTCTGAAGGCACCTGGAGTTGTTTATATTGTACACGAGGCTGAGAGAAGAGGACAGATAGGACACTGTGTACAGAGCATCATTTATGTACCCAGCTCTGGGTTACCATCCCATGTAAAACTCTCAACCTCCATGGGCTAGAAACAGAGCGAGGTTAAATAACTTCCTCAGAAACTGATGATGGTAAGGAGTGACACTGGCTGGGACCTGTGCCCAGTCCGTCTCACTCTTTTGCCCCTGGTCTTTGCTGAAACCACACTGCCTGTGTTGAGTGGCGCAGGTTTCTCTGAGATCCATTTCTTGTGGATCTTAACTGAAGTGCTACAGAAGATTATTTGACAAAGAGGGAAGACACTATCTGTGTTCTCTCTCCCTGGGTAAAAAGAATACAGGAGTCGTCTC